CGGAGGGCATGTCTCCGTCAATGTCGCTGTCTTCTGAACTCTCAGACTCGTCACTGCTGTCTGAGAACACAGCCCACTGTCAGCACTGCCACACTCAACACTACCACAGCTCACTGCTGCACACTGCCACACTCAACACTACCACAGCCCAGTTGTCAGCACTGCCACACTCAACACTACTACAGCCCGCTTGTCAGCACTGCCACACTCAACACTACCACAGCCCGCTTGTCAGCACTGCCACACTCAACACTACCTCAGCTGGACATGCACACACGCCTGTACTACTGTCTCTTCACCTTTTCTCCTCCTCTTCTCCTGCTGCACAGGAGTCTTCTTTCCATCCTCCTCCTCTTCCTCCTTCTTCTCCTCCTCATTAGGTTTCTCCTCTTCGCTCTCTTCGCTACTCTCCGACATCTCGTCTATCCCTGCACATGGCAAGAAAACTCTCCTTTAACATACAAGCGCACTCGCAGAGTGGATCACCTCCCTTTTAATGGACACACACATAAAAGATCACCTCCCTTTTAACACACACTTGTGCAGAGTGGATCACCTCCCCATTAATACACATTTGCACAGAGTGGATTACCTCCCCTTTAACACACACTTGTGGAGAGTGGATCCCCTCTTTTTTAACACACACTTTCACAGAGTGGATCACCTCCCCTTTAACGCACACACACAGAAAAGATCACCTCCTTTTTAACACACACTTGCGCAGAGTGGATCACCCCCCCTTTAACACACACTTGCGCAGAGTGGATCACCTCCTCTTTAACACACACTTGTGGAGAGTGGATCCCCTCTTTTTTAACACACACTTTCACAGAGTGGATCACCTCCCCTTTAACGCGCGCACACATAAAATATCACCCCCCCTTTAACACACACTTGCGCAGAGTGGATCACCTCCTCTTTAACACACACATGTCCCAGCAAGGACAGGAATGAAATCAGCAGCGTAGCGGTCCCTCTCCCTCTCACCTTTAGGGACGTCCTCTCCCTTGCTGGGCTTCACCTTCTCTGGCTCCTCCTCTTCTGAGCTGCCGCAGAGAGACACAGGTGCGAACACAGTCATGCAGTATTTGCTGGGCCCACACTCCTGCTGGCACACAGGGGCATGCAGACCCCCCTCACCTGCTCTCGTCCGACATGTAGTCCACCTCCTGGCCCTCGAAGTCCCCGTCATCGCTGTCCTCCCCCGCCTCGCTGTCACTGCCTCTCTTCTTCTTCTTCTTCTT